CGAGAGGTAGGGAATCCCATTCATGCCACCGCCAGCAACATGGATTTCACCATTGTGGACCGCCGCACCAGGAGACAACAAGCGTCCTGGCCATGGAGCCAACTCCGTCCAAGTCCTCGTCCTCGTGTCCAGCCGCTCGTGATTATTCATTTTAGGATACCCTCCAATGACATGGAGGCAAGAATCTAGAAACACCGACGAGGCCACCTCTCGCTTCTTCTTCATACTCGGTAGCTGGATCCACCCCCATGACTCCAGATCAAACCGACTCGAGGATTTTGATCGCCCATCTACAAAATTGCAGAATCCTCCTCCGCAAACGATTTATCTCAAGTAAGGTTGCCAACTACAACCGGTGAACTGCAGGAGCCAGCCGCCACCAGGCCTAAGGGTGTGAAAGAGTAGGTCTACTTTATGAAAGTCAAAAGGTGCCGGACAGTTTTTGTCGAACCTCGCTACGACAGAAAAAGCTTGAAACCTCACTTCATCGACCCATGGATACAGAGAAACGACTTCGGAAGACCAGCCACGAGAATTGATGGACATTATCTTGGCCCCGTCTTCATTTCCTCCAACGCACCAGAATGAATGGAAACATCTGTTGAAGCCAGTTCCTCGGGCCTTGGTCTTCTCCACGGGGACTGTGTCCCTCAATTCCGGGATATGGAAATCCTTCGCTTCCAACAGGAGGGTTAGGCACTGCGGATTTCCCATTATCGCCGGGTCGGCCATCACGTTCTGACGTAAATACCGCAAAGGCAAAAGAGGAAGTCTCACCTTTTTCATCAGTTCTGGAATGTGGGCTTTTCGTGAAGGGTCATAGTCCACCCATTTATTCACTGCCTGGTAAATGTCAATTTGCATGGTGAGGTCGAAATAAATCGCGGGGATGCTGAAAATTCGCTACAACGGACTGACTCAACTCGAGACAGTAATCGAGTTTGCGCCGTCAAATTAATTCTTTTAAAAATCATTTTCGAAACTTCTTGAGACTGAATTTTGGGACGACATAACCACAGCCATTTTGTTGACTCGAGCGCTCCGAATAAAATATTGCCGTTTCCGACTTTGAAATTGTATGAAATCATCGCAGTAAGTGACGATAGATTCTCCTTCCGTGCCGCATTTCATCGACAAATGTCGAAGACGTCAGTTAAATACATACGGAATTGGCAAAAATAAAGTCAGTTCTGGACCCAGCTGCTTAAAAATACCGACCATGAGATTTTATAGTTCCAAGAACCTTTCGAAACGAGTACCGTTCGACGCAGGATTTGAATTCGCCCGCGTTGAACCGTGCAGGACTTTTCATCTATCGAAAGTAAAGTCAAATCCTGATCGGTATGCCATCACGAAGTTGGGCATACTTATTTACTAACTGAATAAATAAAACTCAGCTGTAAAATGATTGCATTCAGTGGATAGTACTTTTTCAGTACTCCACAGCTGGGAGGAAGGGCGCGTTTATTGCACCTCGAAAAGGAAAATAATTGCTGACTCAGCGGTTGGAAATCGCCCCAGAGAAAAGCATTCATTTCCCCATATCAAAAAGACACTTTGATGCTTTTCGATGATGCTTGTGAAAAATATCAGTAGCCAAAGAGACTCGGGTAAGACGTCTCATTGGAGAAAGCAAGAGTTATTGGAGAAATTTTCCACATCATTTCTGGAGTTTGGAGAGTAGGTAAACACGAGTAAGAGAGGGAGAGAGTAGGATTGTGGACGTGGATGTGGATGTGGAGTGCTCGTTCCACCCACTGGGACATTCACCCCGTAATCCACTGCATGATGCAAGCCCTCAGGCACTGCTTCACGTTCAGCTGTGCCACCACTTCCCATTCGGTGCCGTCGTACATCTCAACCGAAGGAGTCCCCAGTCCGCCGACGGCATACAACTTACCTTGGAAGGAAACGAGACCGTGATTTGTCCGTTTCTCCTTCATGGAAGGCAATGGTCGCCAATCGTTCTTCCTCCAGTAGATAGCTGTGAGTGCCCCTTTTTCATCCGGAATTCCATTTTTATCCGTTGAGCTTCAATGCATTTCGCTTTTCGTCTACAAGACACAGCATTCACTTCATCCCCAGAAACCATGTAACGTGATTGGTGTCAGCCCTCGTTCTTAAGGATCACACCTTTTTCTCATTTCTTTTGCGATTCCAGTATTCTTTTTTCTGAGTTGAAGAGATGACCGGTCAGAGGAAGAAAATGTATAAAAAGCTATTAATGTAAGAGAAATTGAACGTTTTCCATCTGCAAGGAGGACGGACCGAGTCCGACATCGTGCTGCAATCAGAGAGACCGGTGTGCAGAGTAGAGTAGCTATAAACTTTATTCAGAGTGTTTTTTGTGTGACATAACTGACAACAGCCACTACACAACGAGAAGCTGAAAGAAATTATATCCCTCAAAGTAAAACAGAGTCGAACGCAACAATGAGAAAACTCTGAAAAGCAATGAATCAACCACCAGAAAGTTGTCACCGTAACGTAATATGATCTCTTTGATAGTCAAGAAGCATAAAGAAAAGCAGGATTGAAACAAAAGCAAAAAAAGCAAAGCATGAAGTGAAAGATTTAAGCATTAGAAAGAGGGTTCCATCAGATCTGCTGCGAGAGGAGCCAGACGCGGATGGGGGACGCCGAGATCGGCTTCACCGGACCACCCTTGAGCCAGTTGCGATTCCCACGCGATTGCATGTAGGATCTCAGCATATCCTTCATCGCCAGTTGCACGACCATGCCTTCCTTGGCATCGCCCTGTTTCACCTCCTCTTGCTTGGCCTCTCCCTCTTTCGCATCATCTCCTTTGGCCTCATCTTGTTCCGCCTCGTCTTTCCCCGTCAGTCGCCAACTCCACTCCGCATTGCGTTCCTTCTTGGTGTCGTTGACGCAACGCACTTCGCATTGCGGTGCGCCAGGTCTCAGCAACCAGTTGTTCAGGTTCGGTTTTGCAGCCGCTTCCTGGACCACCTGGGCATCCGATTTCATCTCCTGGGTCTCTCTGAGCGAACGACGAAGGAGCCAGGAATGCGAGCCATCCTTCTGCAGGGCCTCCAGCTTCACGCGGAAATCCTTCCCCGAAGCCGGCAGCTCGACGCATCGCTCCTGCGTTTTGAGGAGCCACATGTCGTGGGTCTTCTTGCTCA